GTGTTCGTCGGTAGAGTTCATTCTCTCGTGATGTTGTAGCTCCTTCCGGTGATGTGTCCCAAACATCTTCGCTAGGTTTCTGCAGTTGTTTCTCAGACCTCCGTATGAATATGGCAACACTCTCTTTGCAATGCTCCTGCGCAGCTTGACTCCTCATGTTTGCATATTCCAGCCTGCCTGCAAAATTGCGCGATGCAACATGAGTTCAAGATGTTTTGTCAGGATTGTGAGTGGCACTCTGCCAGTGCCGTGTTCATAGCACTGCCTCTCAGCAGCACCTGACTGCGCATGTAAGACTACACATCTTCATTTCTCCTTGAGACTGTCGACTGCACTGCTTCGAGTCATCGAGGCGAGTGCTGCCACACACGCGTAATGAGCCTGCAGGCGTGTGCTGCCACCGAGATGACATCTCTACGGGAAGGGCTGTTTGTTAAAAGGGGGCAAAACGCCAGGCAAGTTGTTGAACCATGTTGAGCCTAGTGAGGTTTGATTTGCAGTTCTCCAGTAACTGTGAGTGCCGTGCTAATCTATAGTTGAGCTTTCGAGATTTTGCTTTCTGCAGTCACTGTCTGCTGGCCAGGCAAGCCTCAGACAGTCAAGCCGACTTGCCATCGAACCTTTCTATGATTAGGCTTCATAGGCTTCACACTGGTGGGAGCATGAGAGCTAACAGGTGAGACGCAGTGACGTTCTTCATCAAAAGTTGACACAGGGAGCCCGGTGCCACAAGCATATTTTAGGTAATGACTTCTCTGCGCGCATCGTGAAAATTGTGGGCAGGTCAGCATAATCACTAACGCATGCAATGCCACAAAGGCTTCAGTCTGTACCTTTCTGTTGGCTGCCCTCCGGCTTGTCACGGCGGCCTCCACTGAGCTTGACCTGGCGCTTGCTAGCGAGTGACGAACCGTGCGCCGGCGCGCGAATCCACGGCGCAGCGCGCTGAGTTCTTTGCAGCGACCCCTTGATTCTCGGCAGCCCGCGGAAGCCTCACGACCGTTGTTTCTCCACGTGGCTGCATCTCTTCCATCTCGTTCGTAGGAAAGCTGCAGCCGCAACTTTTTTGTTGAACTTTCTCCGTCCTTGTGCTTTAGCCCGAAACCTGTGTCTCGTTGGCATGGAACACATTTGGCAACTAGGTCCTGGGCCTTCTTGCAGAACTGTGAGCTTCGTGCACCTCATGGTTCGTTGATGTGCAGTGGCGAACAGCTGCCCCAGTAGCACCCCAGCCGCTGGCCTGGAGGCACGCGCACTGTCGTTGATCTTCGCGAGATCCTCGTCACTCTGTTGGAGCGGCTGTGCGCATGGCCGCTGGCAACCGAGTGGCCGTGACTTCATTCAGCACGGGCTTATATGCCTTCAACCGATGCCCCAGCAGGGTCAGGTTAAAGTCTGAACACGGTCCTGCCTTCGGTCAATGTGCCAAGAGTTCACTTCTGAAAAGGGTGCAGAGAATTTGCTGCAACAAGGCACTTTGGTGAGTTTGATCTCTACATCCGACACACGTCGCAGGCTGAGGCGCGCTGACCAGGTTGCAAGACATTACCAACGTTGCAAGTCCGCTGTGCAGATTGACAGCACTCTCGGCCGAAAACCCATGAATCCAGAAGATTAGTAAATTAAGTGTAAATCTGAAGTGCTCGTGCAG